TTTATTACAGACTCCACAAAATTTCTGCGATGCCTCCCTTTCACGGATGGCCGATTACAACTACAACATAGTAACACCTCCACGAAATCTGTCAAAACTGAAAAAAACTGATTCTCAGAACTTCCCGTTAATTGTTTATTAAGATAATCGTCGAAGTGGTTATATCTCTGTAGTAATTTTTATCTATGTAGAAGTCATCTAAAAGAATTTTTAAAATGTATTCATGAGAATCTGTTTCTTGTAGATCTTTCCCTAAGTACGCTCTTGCGTTTAGAATTGAAAATCCTCATCTAAATATTGTAAAAAATATTATCGTAGAATATTTCCAATGATGATCATGGCACAACGCAGATAGAGAAAATGTAATAGGTGAGACAAGTCACGGATTATCCTTGTCGACAAAAGTAATATCGCCTGCTACATTATATTCAAACTTAATCTCCGTCCAATCGAGGTAATGTACAATTTTTTAATCAATTACCATATTAGAAATAACAATATATCGCTTAAACTCTGAATTTAACTGCGTTGAATTTATAATTTAAAATCCTCCTTTTGACAGATTTCGTGAAGATGTCATTACGTTGTAGTTGTGATCGGCCATCCGTGAAAAGGAGGCGTCAAATGTATTTTGTGGAATCTGTCATATAGGTTAGCAACTGAAAAAAATGCGAATATCTTAACGCTAATACAAAGTCATGAGCGAAAACGAAGTAAGTGTTCCTTTCTACTCTATTTTGCGGCTCTAAAATGCGAAATAGGGCCTTCATGACGACATCGGGCGAGCTCGGATTTCGTCATCAGAAATCTACCCGAGATGACCTCTAGCGTTTTAACATCCTCCTTTTGACAGATTTCGTGGAGGTGTCACTATGTTGTAGTTGTAATCGGCAATCCGTGAAAAGGAGGCATCGCAACAACTTTTTGGATTCTGTAATATATGTAAGCAACGGAAAAAAAAAGCAAATATCTTACGGCTAATACGAAGTCATGAGCGAAAACGAAGCACGTGTTCGTTTTTACTCTGTTTTTCGGGTCTAATATGCTAAATTGGGCCTTCATCACGAAGACAACATCGGGCGAGCTCGGATTTCGTAATCGGAAAGCTACCCGAGATGACCTCCTTCTGACGGATGTCGGAGTACGCTTTCCGGAGTACTCTTTCCGTACATCCTAGGTGGCCGTTTGTCTGATTTTGTGGTAAGTAGTTTCCGACAGGTTGCCACTTCATCTTAGGTTGAGAGACTAGTTAGGGAGTTTTTGTTCAGGGGGTCTGATGGGTTTTTGGGAAGTTGTTGGGAAGTTGTTGGGAAGTTGGTATGAAACTATTTCGATCGATGTTCTCATCTCAGTAGATGTCAGCATCTCGAAATACACTAGCGCGGGCTTAGTCGGCTGGTAAGATCCTGTTAGAGTCATTTTGTTCAAGGTATTTTCAGGGCTTTTTGCATTTCCTTCGTGTTGTTGGGCATATATGGTTTCGCTTGTTGCAGAACAGAGTAACTGAACAAGGGCTCTAAATCGTCTTCGATATGCAGATTTTTGTATGCCTATGTTTTGCATCGATAATAAAGCTGCAAACGTGGCTCAGTTGTAATTCAAAATTTCACAGCTAAAATTGGCGCTATGAACTTAACATTAAAAACAACTTAAAGACAAGGAGTTGTATACTTCCTGTGCAAGTGACGTGTTTTGAACTAAATTTTGAGCGGTGTAGAACGATTCAAGAAAATGTGAATTTAACAGCGACCGCCTTTCAGAGGATATAAAGAGCTTATATCCTCTTACCGCATTTTGCCTACTGTTGCCTTGGTCACATTGAAGGCAACGAATGATGATAACAACTAAATTCAACTGAACCAATCGGTACCAGGACTAAAAACAGGCGAGGATGGAAACTAATCTAAAAGGAATTTACACCAATTGCAACAGACCATGATACATAATGCCGTGCCACAACCAGTCGACCACATCGCCTGAAGAAGACTTGCAGTAAGCTGTCGAAACGTTGCGTTCCCCATCAAGTGACTTTGTCGTGAGACAACAGAACAAACTTATAATATCATCAAACTAACACGATGAACAACAACCTATTTCATAGCAATTTATTGCTTGTTTCTGTAGTTGGAATTGCTCAGTTTTTAGTTTTTTTTTTTTTTACCTTAACGAACGAAAGAAATACTTCACCTTTAAAGAAACAACTAAGCTGTCAGTGGGCTAGTAAGCAATGAGCTCATTTTCTTTTGTCAATTGAGTTGATAATGCAAATTGGCCACCTTAAAGAGTTTCTAAGGCTGACGTTTGGAGGGTTAGCCCTTCGTCAGAGCGAAGCACCACAGTTTCTTTAGAAACTTATCCTTTTGAACAACAAGTTAATTATAGACACAAGTTTTCTAAAGGTAAACAAATCGCTATAGAACTCGCACAGAGATTAGATGGAGACTGAACAAGAGACAACCTATATAGATGAAGCGAACTAGCATTCGTTATGGCGGCTAATTTACCTAGCCTTATGAACCAATAGTTGATGAACACCTCCTAGGTTCACCGGCGACTATCTGTTTACATTTGCGTGTCAGCTTCCTCACACAAAGAACTAATGGGGCCTTTATTTTACAAAGAATTTAGTAAACATAGCAACCACCGCTGTGTCGAGCCATGAGAGCCCACTCAACTGTTTTCTTAATTGGTCACATGAAGGACATATGAAAGTAAAGTAAACGTTAATTTGGACTGCATTGCAGACGATAACTTTAAAAAAAATGCGACGCTTCCAAGGGATGTTACTTCTGCCAGTTGAAGTTTTAGCTTTGTTTCTAAAAAAACTTTGACCAGCAACAAGAATTTGACTGTGATAATTGATGTCCGAAGAACTCGACCAAAACCGATCTTCCAGAATGTTACTTCGAGTTGAGGTTGTTAGTTGGGAAATTTTATGATGTTTTCTCTACTGTAATTAAATCTTGCCTTTCATTTAATCGCTCATATTATTCTGTTTGTCTGTAGAACATGATCCCTTTACATATATCAGTTGCCAAATTTAAATGAGAATTTTTTTGATCTAGAAATGCAGGTAACATCAGTAAGTTCTCTTATATTTGGATCTCAACTTCTGGACTCAGCTTGGACTCGATTTAGAGAGCACCCCCAAGTTAACAAATTCAATCTTTTAAAGTAAACACCACCTCATTTTTTTCTTCATGTTATACTTTCTTTACTGCTTTCGAAGGTTGCTACTGTATTTTTTCTACTCTCCATAATAATTAAACAGAGGAAAAAAGTCAGGAAATCGGATAAATCGATTTTAAGTCGACATTAGATTTAAACAACATACCACCCTTTGGTTTTTTTTCAGTACGCAAAAAAGTCACACTAAGTTGCAATTGATCCACTGAACTTTAAAAGAAATCTTGCCTGTGCAAAACAGCTTTAACTGGACAGCAAAATAATATCAACAATAACGCCTCCGAGGATAAGATGTCTCCTCATTTCCCTTTCCGTCTGGAAAATATCTTCACGAAATCGAAAGACATCGATATAATCGGCTTAAAGTGTACTCAGACGTCACGTGTAACAAAGAGTTGTGACTCGCAAAGACACCAGTTCTGTACTTTAGCCTTTGTGACAATCCGGAAAATAAAATAATTTTGTGCCAATCCGGAAAACAAATAATTTTTGTAAGCCGATAGCCACTAGGCTTGTTTTTGAACGATTTAAGATTTACAAACTCAAAGTGCGGAGTGCGTGGTAGCGGATCTACTTTCGACTTTCGTATCGCCACCACTCTAAATAAATTTTGTCACCTGTTTATTCCATCAAAACGATACTTTAAAGAAGAAAAGATCTTCCGTGACCTAAATTACGCAGTCATGGTCAAATCCGCCATAAGCCTAAGCCCTTTGGACGTTGCCTGTTTTTATGAGGCAAAATTTAACAACTACCTCCATCAGTAATGACCTTGAAATGTTATGTAGCGTTTACCACAAACTACACAGAGTTCTCGCCACCTCACATCATAAACCGCATCAAAAACCGAGCATATTTATGCACAGGTTCATGCTATATTTAATTTTCAGACATCTTCTTTTTATCAGCAAGAGCGCTTCATTTTCCTCATTTCCACCTTTTTCTGTTTTGTGGTAACATGGTTCGGTGCGCCCAAGGAGTAGAAAACAGTTGTTTTGAATAGCTAGTTTCTTGATCCATCAATTGAAATTTTCTACGTCTTTGACTTAGTTAAGTCACGAAATTGTTTCAATCATGTGACTCATAAACCCGCCTTCCCTTTGGAGCAAAGTGCTTGCTTGAGAAGAAAGAATAGCAAGGATGGCCTTGGATTTGCAATATTTCAACAGGTGGAAACAACAAAACTGAAAAAAAAACTCAAATTGGAACATTAACCTTAATCCTGTCTAGGAACAAATCATAGCAAGAAAACCGTTATAGACCAAAAATTTATATGGAGTGTGGCTTATCGACCACATCCACCCAAGTCTAACATATTCTAAAAGAATATTTATTTCGTAAAGCAGACCATGCGTGTAGACTGTGTTTCATCACCAATTATTCCTTATTCAGGGCTTCCAGTCCAGAAATATAATCCATTAGAGACTGTAATACTCAACACGCTGTAGACCATACTTGGTATGGCAGGATACACGCGTCTACGCATGTAATAAGGGATTTCCCCTGGGATATTTCCTTTTCTCCGCATGAAGCAAAGGGTAAAAGGAAACGTCGATATGGAAGCAAGAAGGTTTATTTTTTGGAGATATTAGCATTCAGGTCTTTTTAATGTTCATGTTTAAACTTTCGATAACCAATTTGCAGGGCCCTTCAGGAAATCTACAGTAAATCAACCCTGTAGATAAGTACAGGGCATTTGAATCAAATCAAAGCAATTAATCAATTATTGATAGCCTCGCAAATAATTATAGATGATGACCTTCTTATTGGCTACTGAAGTTATTTGCGGATATCATACTGGGTGGACCAAAAGAAAAAATTCATTTTCAACCATTTCCTTGCGCTCAAGCAAAATGCATTGTGCTCGCGAAATATGTTTCCTGGTCATTTTTGGACACATTTCATTCTTCACGAGCGCCAAAATGTCTCATCAACAAACTAGTAGGCTCGAAAGGTTCTACTCTCTGAATTGTAGCTGCACAGACAGATCAGAGAGTTTGAATGCACCGAACGGATGGCGTCCCGACCGGGAGTCATATTTGCCGGTGAGTTATCGGTTTTTCATAGATAGGGAACCATTGCAAAGCGGAGTTGAAGTCAAAGCAAATTTTTAAAATACATCTCTTTAGAGACACGCAGATGTCAGATGTCTTATTAGCCAACTTCGACATCGAAGATACACGTTTTTTTTGCTTAGTCCTACAGATACATTTACTGATCATATCAATATTCCGCTCTATTGATGAAAATTTTCCGTGTGTAAGTATTTTGCATCAATGAAAGACATGAAAACGAATTGAAGCAGCTCAGCTTGGGTAAAATTTATACGACTCAAACTGGCTCGTTGACCTTGCTTCGTTCCCTGTTGTTTCGACCAGCTAGGACAAATACCTGTGAAGTTTGCAAACGAGTTTGCTATATAAAGGGGACAGAAAAGCAAAACATCATAGGAACAATATGAGCGAAATACGGACAAAACTCAAAAAAGCGTCATGTTCATTCAAATATTATTCAATTCATAAAAATGGCTTTTGCTGGTAAAAACATCTTCTGTGTTGATGTCTTAAGCAGATCACGTGCGTGACATATCAGTATTCTTGGCGGAGAAAGATTCCGTAATTTTTTGTGCTCATCAGGCGAAAACATTCCGCGAAGTGGACTTTTTTCCATACAGGAGTAACTTAAAACTACTTGAAAACATCTACTCATAGCGTTTTCAAGCACGATAACTTTTTGCTCAGTGATAGAGGAAGAATGGTCACGAATTGCCTGCGCGTGATTTGGCAGACATATCTCTTTCACGTGAGAGCAAGAACGCGAAAATAGGAAGGGGTTGAAACCAGTAAAGGTGGCATTGGAGCAGTGTTCGGCGAGATTTTCGCATTTTTTTTTACTTTGAACCCCTAGATTGGATTTGAAGCGAACGAAATGTCTAGTCGTGAGGATTTCCAATTTTACACTTGACAGGAGACCGGAAGTAAGGAAAGGCAGTAGCGTTACTTGTCTTTTATTTCATATCAAAGGAAGCTCAGTATTTTAATACCGGATGTACTTAATATGTTTTTACTCTTCTGAAATCTCCTCTGCAAAAAGAAAAATAAATAAAAAATATGTCTACATCAAAATGGAAAGAAAAAAGTTATACCCGTTCAAAGAGTGG